CATTCTTTGTCATTAAACTATCATTTGAATCTTTTTAATTGTTAAAATTCATGTGACTAATGAAGGTACTGATGCTGTGACTCATCAGGTGAATAAACAGCTATGTAAATGAGCAGTCTAAATTTGCTGTCTGTATTAATAGTCAGAAGTCTTTCCTGAGCACATACCGTAAGATGTAGATTATTTCAAAAGAACATCCCTAAAATTCTAGAAGATTTACAGCAAATTGAAATAACAATATAAGTTTGAGTTTATTTCTGAGGGGAAATATAACTACGCAATTTTAAAAAGGCTCAAGTAGCCCTAAGTAACTCAGATGAGTATCCACTTGCTTAACTGAAAAGACAGTAAGTTGAACCGCAGCAACAGCATCACATTATTTGAGATGCTTTAAACACCCATTAATTTTTCAAAGTAAGTGTTTGAAAAATTATTAACTAGTGCCTGATTCTCATTACTTTCCAGCACCAGAAGGCAAAGACTGAAATTTGTTAAAACCTCAGGCTGTTCAGCTAAAGGAAGGATTAGATCAGCTCTTTTGTCAAGTCTGGAGAGCAAACCCCTTCTTTCACAGCTTAAGTTAAACTCTGTATGAAAAAGAGAATCTGCCTTAAATAGAGTCCTTTGGTTTTGGAGGTCAAACTGGCAAACTACCATTTTGAGGGAGTTTCATGAAAAAAAAAAAAATCCATCTGCAACTCAGTGCAGCAGCTAGGCAGATGTCTCAGCTGGTACTCATTGTATTAAATTCCAAGGACCGTATAACTTCTGTCAAGAAGTATCCCATGGTGCAACATGTCATTCCTACACATTAATTTTACTTGCAAAAAGATGTCCAAAAATGCCTCTGAGTTCTCGAGAGTTTGTAATGCACTGGATTCGATCAGTCAATATGCATTCTGTCCTGTACTTCCTTAACTTTCTCTTACTCCCCTTCCAGTAAATACTGTCTCTTTCCAATTTATCACACTAGTCAGGAGATGCTTTAGAATACTTTAGAATAAAAAGATGACATAAATTTTATATTGTCTAGAAATAAAAATCCTGAGTCAGTTGCATAAACTCTCCTGCAAGCTAACTGGTAGGCAATGCAGTAGTAATTTGTTGTCATGATATCTGGCATTGAATATCTAAATAACACCTCCTCTTTGGAAATTCTGTCCCTCACTCCATCATTAGTAAGGCTGTAATTTCTGAAGCCATGTGCTTACTGAATGAATAGACTTCGACGTTCACTTCGACGACCCTTGGAATAGAGTGAATGAACTTCGACGTTGTCTAGGGGTGAGGAAATGCTCATTAAGTTGCAGCAGTGACCCACTCTATTCCAAGGGAAGTATCACAGAACAGGCTAAGATGGATTAGGTTACCTGATCTATCTTCCTACTAATATAACTTTGTTCTTGTAATACCTTTTAGATCTGGAGAAAAAAAGGCAACCTGGACCTCACTCTCTTGGGGCCCTACTACGTGTCCATCAGAAATGATATCAGTAACGTCCATCTTTTGTCCACAGATGTAAAGGTCATTTATTTGATCATACCTATAAATTAATTTTCAAGAATGCTAATTACAGGAGAGACCTGCACCTTTCACTAATTTTTCTAGTCCTATTAGGCAAAACATTCTAGGTTTAGGAGCTCCTAAGTAGAAAAATTTGGGGCCTTCGTATTGTCTTTCGCTTTTTCATTGTCTAATTTTCCCTTTACCAGCCCAACAGTGTTAAAATCAACAGAGACAGTACTTCCTGTTTCTGAAATGGATTTTTGTACAGATGAGATAAGAGAAAGGTTTCCATCTCCTAAGAAAATGCACTAACCCCATGTGTCTCACAGCAACCCTAGCTGACAATCTGTCTCTACTATTTCTAAGGAAGAAAAAAAAAAAAAAAAATCTCTTGCTCTGTAATGTCTGTATACGGCATTTTTTTCATCTGCTTTGAGTTATTAGCAAGGCAGTGAATCTATGATTTGCAGTAATTACAGGTGTTTTCTGTGGTTTGTTTAATGAGAGTTTCTAATTAAGACATGGAAATACTAAACCTGTAAAGCCTAGAATTCTAATACTACTATTAGAAGGTACTTCATTTGCCCAAAATTTTTTCACATTTTTATCATGTCCAACTAACAGCTGAGTTGCCTTTTTCTTTTTTTAATGCATCTCAGCCAAGAAAGGTTGTGAATTCTAATGTTTAGGCAGCTTGTCATTCTTCAGGAAGGTCTAAACAATGCTCAGGAAATAAGGTTGGGAAGCTCATTTCAAAGAACCACAGAAAAAACATCTCTAAGACAGATATCCCTCAACAGTAAATTCCATTACTTTTTCTCTAATAGTAAGGGCAGCTCAGGAAATCACGTACTTCAGTAATCATCAACTAAAGCAACTGAGCCATGCCTGATCCCTGGCAAAGGGGGTATAGCAACCGGCAGATGCACGAACCCTCTTTTATAGACTCCTCTCTTATCTATATATTTTGGTCACATCTACAAAAGCTTGAAATACATCTTTAATTAAATTCTAAGAGATGCCTTCGTCTCAAATCTAAACATTAACACAGAAGAAGCATTTAGAAAATCCACACAGTAACAAGGACATTGCACACAGTGTAGTAGCAAAGCCACTATATATTCACAAGAACCACAACTGTGTCATTTAATAAACTATCCATTAGTGTTTGTTCACAAAAAGGCATTAACAAGAAACCCACATGGCAAGTTATCCCACAGTATTTCCAACAGTTTAAAAGTAGTTTATCTCTATAAAATGTAATTTAGCTAGCATATACTAGTGAATCTGGCTTTTAATTTAAAATGGCTTAATGTAGAGGAATGTGTTTGCAAGATTAGCATTTATCTGAAGAAGGACGGAGAAACCCAATCCTCAAATTTCAACTTCTCTTCTTTTTAGTGTTTTAAGAATGATCACTCTATTGTTGCCCCAGCTTCCCTTTCAGCAGTGACAGGTAAGCTGTCATCAGTCACCTGCATGCATAAGCTCTCATCCTAATAGAAAGATCCTTTTGAGAGCAGCAACTGAACTGATCAATCCATAGGGAAGGATCTAACAGCCAGGTCCAGCCTCTTTGCCCTGCATGCAAAGCACTTACAAGAGGAGGCTTGTGACTGGTTTGTTATCTCTGATGCCACAGTGACCTAATTAGTCATCTGAATTGTTGATGTGATAACAACAATTAGATGCAGCCATTTGAAAATATGGTAATTACTACAATTTTTTTTAAATATGTAGTAAACTTCAGTTAATTTTAATTATATGAAAAGTACAAAGTATCTGTGTTACTCTTACGAAGCCTAAGAAAATACAATTTTTTTTAAATGACCAATTTTAATTAATCTTAATTTATTTATAGATCTCTGAAACATGACTCTCAAAAACTTGTCAATTTGGATGACTCTGCTGTAACATTCATAAACAAGTTTTATTTTTGCTAGAGGTGCCAAATATCATTTAGTCTAAATTGTTGAGTCATTTCTTCCTATCAGTAAGTTGAAACACCTGCACATTTCTGTCCCCTTTATTAAAATAAATGTCCATTAAGTGTCCTGGCCTGACATCGTTGCCCTAGTCGCCACATAACAATAATGATGCACCAAATGCCTGCATACTGTACTGTTAATGAGGCACCAAATATGGTACATATGTTACAAGAAGATACTGTACTAATTACCTATGTATATCTTTGTGCAGAGCAGCACTGTACAACGTACCTGTAACACTTCTTGCTTACCTGTATGTTACCATTCTTAAAAGTTACTATTTTATGAATATCTATATAAAAGAAACCAGTGGTTAATAAAACAATAATGAACACTGTTTTCACCTATAACAGCTAAGCACAACACAACAGATAAATTCCTATGACAAAAACCATATGTTTTAATGAACTGTAGCAGCATCACTTAATGATTGTAGCAGGATACTGGGAATTGCTGAATTATAGCTGCATCTCTGACTCTGTGAGGCCTCAAGTCATTAAAATGCTGCAACTTGGGCAATGAAAAAAAAAAATACAAGACCCCAAATTAGTGGATGTTTATGCAGTGTTTTTTTTTTTTTTTAAAATGTTTGCCTTGGATCTTTGTGCTTCTCTTGTACTGCGTACACAACAAGTGTAGTGATACATCTTTAGTACCTTCTTGGCATGCTGTGGGGATTAGTTAATGACTGCATAGCTCTTTGAAGATGTTCAGGCTATTTTATTTTTAATTAATGTTTGCAAGCTACTTTGAGCTTCTCTGATGAAAGGGCTTAAACAAGTATGAAATTTCAGGTGGTTATTAGTCCAACATGCAAGAGGGCAAGACAAGGAAGTAAAATGAGACTATGGGAGAAAGGAAACAGCTCCATTTATCAGGCACCTGGGATGTGTAGGTAAGTAATACTGAAATAAAAAAAAAAGTTAAAAAATTATGAGGCAAGCATACTGCTCTGAGAAATGGCAGGCTCCCAATGCATGTGCTGTCTAGAAGTTTTCCATGGAAATTCTGAGGCACATCTTCAAGGAGTGTCAGTTACTATAGTTTTATAATACAGCTCTGGCAGTTCATTCTAGCTGAGGATTGGGTTTACATGTTGACAACAGACTATTCCCATCTCCTCCCTCCTTGCCCTACATACTCCTGGGACACAGAAGTGGCAGGCAAATCCACAGAGTCCTATTTGCAAGAGTTGTGGATTAGATTCCCATTAAAATCAGCAGCAAAACTCTTTGGGCTCAATTTAATTAAAAACAAGCAGCCCTATGATAGCAGCTAGATGGTAATATTTGTAATGATGTGGGTGGCACACAGTTTGATGGGAGTTCTGTTCATTCTGATCTATTGCAAGATAAAGCCCAGGCCTTTGAAATAAGTTTCTGTTTGTAGTGTTCTATTTTCACTCACTCTTGCTCAGTGGCTGATAATAGCTAAAAACCAACGGAAATTGGGAGCTGCTTGGAAGTCATCAGAAAATCCCAATATAAAAAAAAATTGCATCCACTGTGGAGTAAAATATATCTTTTAATAACAAAATGTGAGTGTTTTGACTTGCATACTCTCAGTCATCTAACTGGCATAGTGCTGCCACACCTCGATTTATCCAGTGTTTCTGGGGCTTGTCTGAAGGGAGTTCAATTGAGAGAACGTAGTTGGTTGAGTGGCCAGTAGTGGATAAGACACCTCTTCTTGCACTTGTCTTGTATACAGGGCATGAATAGATGTTCATGTGAAGAAATCTGGAACTTTCTCCAGGTTTCAGCCAAATTATGGGCAAACAATCATAAAGGATTTTTGGAAGTGATTCTCCAATTACCGAGGATTCTCTATCCCATCGTGCACCTTCCAAAAAAAGGCCTCTCACATAAGCCCCATCTTCTGGCATTTTCTCCATCGTGTGCTCCTGTTTCATCACCTAGAATGATTAAACCATTGCTTGATTTTATTTTTATCTGGAGTGTATCAAATCCTGTAAGTGATAGTCTGAAATTACTCCTTTAAATAAAATTTATTTTCATTTGAAAACTCTGTTCCTTGCTGCACCAGAACATGTTTCAAGCTGTTCAAGAAAAACAAAATTCCGCTGCATTTTCTTACCTCAAATTCAAATCCAATATGGTCGATTGGGATGGTGTGTTTTCTGGCATAGTTTTGTAAAACACCGGTCAAAAAAGACTGAGTGAAGAAGAATCCTGAGAGCCAAAAGACTGTGGGTGGCCCATTGATGACCCAATCCTGAATATGAAGAGAAAAAACAAATGTAAGAAAAATACATTCTGTGGCTTCACTGTACCAATTCACTAGAAAAAGGGTGTCTTTTCAGGTACACTCAAATAGCACAATGAGATCTAAATCTTGATGGGACCCTCTGGATACTACCATTAGGTCTGTATTTTTCAGAGACAACAAATCACAGAAGTCATTTATGATGACAACAAAAAATAATCACTCATTCTGAAACAACCAGAACTTGGTGCTACTAAGAAAGAAATTTCAGAAAGTAGCATAAACATCTTTTGGTAAGTCTAGATACTAGCCAGCAAAAAAAAAAGAAAAATTATTGAATTTGGACACTTTTGTCAATATACCCTCTTTTACAGTCTTGTAAACACCAATCTCCTAACATGAAAAAAGGCCAAATTTTCTTACATAGCATCTTCACTGATCACTATGAGGGCATGCGCTACAGCCAACACATCAGATCCTAGTAGAGGAAATCATTCCAGTACAAAGATGCCAGACAAGGAGATCTTTGTTTGATATCACAAAGGCAGTAGGAAAAACAAGGCAAGGGCAGAATGTCCCCACGCTGCTTTAAGCCATTTAGAGTCAAAAGAAGCCCATATGGTACTCTGATCCAGCAAACAGGAAACTCTGCTGCTTAAACAAATCTTTCAGACACTTCTTGTTAGCTTTCTCCTCCTCTTACTTGTATGGATTCCACTACATCTCAGTACCTCAGCTATTTAAGGTACATCGGAAATTTTAAGTAATTTAAAGAGAGTGCTAAAAGTGCAAGGGAAATAATGGAAGGGTGAGTAAAGAATAAAATAACTTGTTCAAAAAGTGTGTGGAAGTGGTGTCACTTTTTATTAAACTTGAAAGAGATTTACAGTCACCTATATAAAATTTAATAGTGCCTGTTATGCCTCTCACAGCTGGTTCAGTGTCCTTTGAGCAGGGAAGTCATTAAAGCATCAATGCAAAATAAAATGCATCTTTTAGAAATAGAAAAATGGAAACTACCAAATGCAGCACTGGATTAACACCAAAGTATTATACTCCCAACTCACCCTGCTGAGCAATTGCCCAGCTAATTCCAATGCTGTTAATGCAGTATATATTTGCTCATGAGTATGTGCGAGTAGTTCAGAGTCTGGAGCTACAAGGGTACTGCTGAGTGAGGACAGTACTGATATGCGTTTTACCCATTCAGCTTTCAACTACAGAGTCCTTAGACCTGTCAGTCTCAGTTTAACGTACCTGGAAGAAGACCAAACGACAGAGGAGATCGGACACATAACCTCCCAGTGGCTTCAGTGATGGATAGGATTTGGTAGCCCACATTGATGGTACTTTTCCCATTAGCATGCTGTTGAAAACATCTTCAAGTTCAGATGACATCAACACTTGGCCTTTAATGGCTTTGCCTAAATTAATGAGGCTGCTCCGAACAACTTCAGTAAGCCTTAAAATTAAAAAAAAAAAAAAAAAAAAAATTGTCATCTCATTATTTACTTCTTACTATCTGGCTAAAGACCTCTGAGTCCAACTTGAATGAAGGGCTGATCAAAGCTGGTAAATGTAGGTTTTGATAACCTGTAGTTATAAAACGCTTACTTAACTTAGGAAGAGCAATGTTGTGGTTTAACCCCAGTGGGATGGAAGAGAGAATCGAAAGGGTAAATGTGAGAAAACTCATGGGTTGAGATAAAGATGGTTTAATAAAAGACAGTTTAATAAAGCAAAAGCCACACACACAAGCAGAGCAAAACAAGGAATTCATTCATTACTTCCCATCGGCAGGCAGGGGTTCAGCCACCTCCCGTAAAGCAGGGCTCCATCACGCGTAACAGTTACTCAGGAAGACAAATGCCATCACTCTGAACGTCCCCCACTTCGTTCTTGCCCCAGCTTTATATGCTGAGCATGACGTCATATGGTCTGGGATATCCCTTGGGTCACTTGGGGTCAGCTGTCCTGGCTGTGTCCCTACCCAGCCTCTTGTGCACCCCCAGCCTGCTCGCTGGTGGGGTGGGGTGAGAGGCAGAAAAGGTCTTGACTCTGTGTAAGCACTGCTCAGCAATAATGAAAACATCTCTGTACTATCAACACTGTTTTCAGCACAAATCCAAAACATAGCCCCATACTAGCTACTATGAAGAAAATTAACTCTACCCCAGCCAAAACCAGCACAAGCAAAGAAAGAAAAAAACACACACAGAGAAATGAAGGATAGTGAAAATTCCCATTCTAGACAAGGGAAATCAAGTGACAAGACCTTTAAAGATTGTAACACTAATTAACATAGTATGCTGTGAATATTGGGGCCTGGGTATGGCTTAAAAAGAATAAAGTAGGCTGCCCTACCTCAACACAACAAACGCAAATCTGATTTAAGTTCATACTCCAAGAATATAGGTACTATTTCGATATTCAAATAGTCATCTGCAGCTTTCAAGTAATTTTAAAAGGTTCATCCAAAGCAGAATCTATCATGTTAAGAACAATGTATTGTAAAAGGCTTAAAACTGTTTAAGGCTTGCGAGTGGCTAGCACCGATGAACACCAGCATATTTCAGTATTAGCAGTGCTACACAAAACACTGAGCCATACCTGTTAAATCGAATTAATTCTTGCCTAAGAACTGTATTCATGGACTCTTCATAAAGTACTGGGTATACCTTCATAACCTCTTTAACATCAAAGCCACTTGGTAATTTGGATAGGATGTCCTGCGCCAAATCTTCAACAGTTTCCTGAAATCACAAGTTTGCAGTGAATGAGGAATTTCCCTTTTTTTCACCTATTTTTATTCAATAAATTCCACAAAACACTATAAATTTTATATTTTTTTTCTGTATAACCACATAGGTATTTTAGTCCATTTTCTCAAAAGAAATCATGCTTACATGCTCTTACTCTGTGCATCATCCTGTCTGTCTCTGCATGTGCCTGCTTGCTCCTTTTCCCTTCTCAATAATTTTAAATTTGTTAGTAGTTTCAGTTTAATTTGCAAAAAGGTTTTAGGCAACTTCTAAGTAAACAGGCAGCAGGGCAGACAAGCATAATCCTACTACTGCCACAATGAAGGAAAAGACAAAGTATGCAGCATGGGGAAAATAATGGGAAGACCATATGAATACCCCAGCCATGAGAGAAGCTTTACTTACAGCATATGGAAATAGGTATGATAGGGTATTACAGTATCTTCCATCAGAGACTACGACCACTAGACAACCCCGCAGGAAATAAGGCTCCATCAATTCTACTTTTCAAGAATCCACTTGTGTATACAAAATATAGGATGTCAAATCTGAGGGGTTTGAAAGATCATTTATCCATGTCTCAAAAGGATTTGGCCTGAGTAACCTGTGCTGCCAGGACAGGATGAAGGAAAGAAATTCCTGGAATCTTCACAACCAGGTCCCATGGAGGGCTAGATGACAGTGAGGTCTGTGTCTAAGTGATTCCATTCTGCCAAACTGCCCCCTTTCTTTGTGCCACCCAAGTCACAAACAGTTACACATTTGGGACCGTAGATACTGAAGCAGCCAAGGGGAAGCAAAAAATCGTATTTCAAAACCCAAGCATTCAATGAGTAATAACAGACTGGAAGTGCCACTATAGCACAGACTTCACCAGGAAGACAACTTTGGCCTCTAATGCACTTATATTGGTTGCCTGATGGCTGAATGACTTGATACAATTTCCTGGCACTCTGGAGTCTGTCCCCTAGGGAGAACGGCAGGGATGCTCATACAACCACTGCTGGATGAAGACCGGCCAGTGCACGAATCTCCATCATTGGAATGTGCAGATTGGAATTAAAGTCGTACTTTAAAATTGCCTAGGGATGGATGTGATTTGAGGTGCTTTACCAGCTGTGATTGTTAACTGTGCTTTAACTACAATTCATGACTGAAGTGAAGCACTTCACTGTTATTTTAAAACATGAAATAGGAAAGAAACATTCCTATTCAAATTGCATGTTCTACTCAACCAGGTGGGGTTGTGTGGTATTAATCTACTTGAATTCAAAGTCATTAGGGTATCTTCCATCTTTAAAGGTTCTTCTATGCGAAAGCTGCCTGCTTCTCTACAGGGACATTCACATCTACTCCCAACGCCACAGTCATGTGATGAGAAGTTTTGGATTACTCTAACACCTAGGGCATGACAGGAAAGGGCAGCTTTCCAGAGTGCAAGGTGATCTTTCTTCCCCAGTTACCTGAGGGGACTTCCCACCTCCCCCTGCTTCTCTAGGTAAAGTCAGCAGCACTCCACTGAAAAGCTGGTTAGTCTCCTGGTTATCCTTGGTGATGTCTGCGTTTTCATGAAGTCCAAACACTTCAGGGTGTGTTGTAATTGGTAAACTTCGTAGGTATTCAATGTAAGACTAAAAGAAACATGTAGAGACCGGAAATCATGCAATGATATATTCATAAATGATCAGTAAAACCAACTTGGACAGAACATTCCCATTTACAATCAAACACATAAGTTCCCAGTTAAATGCATCCAGGAATTGACCTGGTCCACAGAGATAAATATAAAAGTTTTGAATGGTTCGAAGACTCACTGAGTTGTTATTCTTACCACCCTCACGTAAGTAGCAAGAGAAAGGAATGTACATTAGAAATACACAAGGAACACTGGTAGGAGTCACAGAAAAGGGTGGGATGCTGTATGTGTCACCCCTACAACTGCAGGCTACACAAATAGGTGGGATTTCAGCACATCCATTATCTCTATGCAGCTGGTAGAAGGGAAAAAGGGGATGAAAACTGAGTATATACCTGCTATTCTACCTCTTCATCCTGACCATTGCTTTCAAGGCAAAAACGGTTGCAAGAGGGTGCAGAAGTACCGTGTAAATTCCTGAAGCCTGACTCCTATTGGCTTTCTAGAACTGTACTGGAAACTTGCACAGGGGTGGCCCTTTGCATCAACAAACATCAGAATATTGGATGATCACTACATCTCCATTGGGGTGTGTTAGATATTAAGTACCAGATTCATTTTTCATACATAAGATATATTCTGGCATGGCTTTGTGATCTTACATTTTTTATTTTCTATTTGTTTTATTCCGCATATCAAAGTACAGTGTAGATAACGTTTTTCCCAATAACTCGGAGAGAATTTACACATTATCTTCTTACCTCATACGGACCATGTGGTGGTATGTAGTAGTCATCTCCAGGTGCAAGCATGTACTTGTCCTGCTCTATATCCTTGCTATAGACTATGGAAAGAAGGGACAGGAGAAGACGCCTGTCTTTATCATCTGTTACTCTACCTCCATAGTTACATTCCCCTGGGAAAGGACAAAGAAAACCAGGATGAAAAATTGAAAGTTAATGAACAAATAAAAATTGTTTTGCAATAATGTATAGCTCCAGTAAGCTGAAGTTCTGAAGCTCCAGATCTTCAGAAGTTTTTAGGCCCTACACTTCAATTGATGCAATGGAAATTAGGCACTTAAAACATTTTTGGAACTATGGGCCAAATTTGTGTGCCTTGATGATGAAAGGTTTAAGGAACACTATGAGTTGGTCTGCAAAACTGCTACTCATGCCACAGTAAATAATCTCATGTTTTAAATGACAGCTCTTCTGCTTGAAATTCTCATTAGTAAGAAATTTTACAACTGTCAAAATCTGAACAGTGCTATATAGCTGATCCTTGTCTTGTTCCTTTCATGCAAACTTAACCTGATTATGTATGTATACAGTAGAAGAAAAGAGATCACCAATATGCAATACCCCTGTGCAGAAGGGGCTGGAGAGATTTAAGTAATGGGCAAGCAATGAGGGGAGATTTACACTGACATAAAGTACAGAAAACAGCTAAAAGCTCACAGTGATTACTTTCATCCTAACTCCCGAAATTCTTTTTCAAAAAGCTAATCATAATATTAGCAAAAATCAGGAATTATCTTTATAAGGTTGACAAAGGAGGTTCCAAGAAACAGCTATCTGAGAAAGAGAACTGAATAGCCACAGCAACCAGGTTATTTACACAGGTCAACACCTCCTGCTTTAAACTGATGAGCATTATCACACCCTCTGGTAAACTGCCAAATGCTTACTGTGTCAGGATCATATTGATCAGCTAAGGTGAAACACAGGCCATTGATGTTTTTATTTGACATATATGAAGCAAAGACTAGGAGGTTTGCTGGACCACTAGTAATTCTAGCTATATGTGAGCCAAGACAGCAACGACATCTGAGGGTTTGGGATCCAACTTGTCTGTATGTGGAAGGCCAAGAAAGTAAACTTGATGGAATCCACTCGATTTGTCAAGAACTCATCAGTTTATCACTGTACCAGCTGAAAGTGCCTAGCAAAGTCAACACATTAGAGGGTGCAATGCCTGTACCTGTTAGATATGTCAGAGCTTCAAATGGGATTTCTTCATATTCATTCAGAAACATCTGGATCTGTCGCATACTGATTCTGAGGTCAGATTCGTTGAACTCATATGGAATATTCCAACCTGTTCGATTCAGAAAAGATATACAGGGCAATGGTGTGCTGTACAGATCTACCCATGCTCAGGAAATGATGGTATTGGTACTATACTGCTACTACGCAGCTGAAGATAACAGCTGCCAGACAGTACCTAGAAGCTCCAGAATTTACCAGGCTGTTTATTGCACAAGGGAGCATATGACTCCGTAACAATATTGTATCCTAAGGCACTATTACCATCATTCCATATAATTAAAACATAAGCACAGGCATTTTGGCATCACACACTCCTGAAAAATGATGTTTTACCTGAAGCAGAACACAGACCTGCTCAGTACTTTCAGCTAATCTGTTGCTATCTGGAGATGATGAGAACAGGAGTTTTAATTCATTGATTAATTTTAATTTTTAATCAATCTGCCCATCTATTAATGCTGTTTGTGTATGACATTCAGAGTAATGATACAATAAAAAACAACCAGGAGAACGCTTCAAATGAGAGAATCCTTCAGAAAACCTACACCCCTAGCACAAACCAAAAACTAGGGTTATTGCTGCAACTATCCTTCTTCCCCCAGACAGCTGGTCACATTAAGCAGTAGCCATCACTTTTGAAAATGACCTCTTTGTCACCTACAAAAATTATATTTTTACTTCAAAGCAATAAATTAGTATCTTCATTCTGACATTCTAGTGTTTATTCAAGCAGCTGCCTATTAAAATAAGGAGAATGGCTTTCAGTGAAAGTACAACATTTCATAACAGTTACTGTTATGAGAAAGGCATACTCGGTTGGAATGGAAGGCTTCACGTACACCAATGGAGAGTTTAAGCTCTACATAGTTATAAAAATGGAAACTGTAATTCCATACATTTCTGTGTTTTATGAAAAACTTCAGATTTCTATATACATTTTTTTTT